ACATCCAAATGGATGAAAATATGAAATGTTGGGCTTTCTGTTCTTCCACAATTCATATGGAGTCTTTTCCAGAATAGGTCTTATTGAGATTCTATTCTGAATGTAGCACGCTGTGTTTATTGCCTCTGCCCAGAAGGTCTTAGCAACGTTTGTCTCATTGATCATGGTTCTGGCCATTTCTTGCAATGTTCTGTTCTTTCGTTCTACAACTCCATTTTGTTGGGGAGTTCTAGGACAAGAGAAATCATGCAGAATGCCTCTGTCATTAAAGAATGACTCAAAATCTTTATTTTCAAATTCTCCACCATGATCACTTCTGACTTTAACGATTCTAAGATCCTTTTCATTCTGAACTTGGTTACAGAAGGTAAGAAACACAGAGTGTGACTCGTCCTTGTGTCTTAAGAACTTTACCCATGTCCATCTGCTATAGTCATCTACGATTACTAACCCATACTTCTTACCACTGACTGAGGCAGTTTTAACTGGTCCAAATAAGTCAATGTGCAGAAGTTTTAATGGCTTAGAGGTAGAAACAACATTTTTGGATTTAAAATAAGGTTTAGCAAATTTGCCTTTCTGACATGCTTCACACAGAGCATCTGAATTGAACTTCAAATTAGGAAGTCCTCTGACCAGATTGAGTTTGTTAATCTGAGATATTCTTCTCATACTAACATGTCCCAATCTTCTGTGGCAGATCCACTGCTCGTTGTTAACAGACAGAAGACATTTTACATTCTGACTTTTTAGTTCAGAAAGTTTGATTTTGTAAATGTTGTTTTTCCTCTTACCATTAAACAGGATAGTCCCATCTTTCTGACTAACAGCTTTACATGATTTTTGATTAAAGATTATATCATAACCGTTATCACTTAATTGACTTATGGATAACAGATTATGCATCAATCCATCTACTAGCAGAACATTATTGATAGAGGGAAGATTTCCATTACCTACAGTTCCAGAGCCAATTATCTTTCCCCTCTGATTGCCTCCAAAGCCAACGTGGCCTCCAGGCTTAAGTTCCAGGCTTTGGAACATATGCCTTCTTCCCGTCATGTGTCGTGAGCAGCCAGAGTCCAGGTACCATGACTGGTGTTTCTGACTTGCTGCTAAAGATATCTGCAACATGTATTATTTTATCCTTAGGTACCCAGATTTTCTTGGGTCCTGATTTGTTAGTTTTACCAAAACTCTGGTTGAATTTTGGTTTCACAGAGTGCTTACTGCTAGTGTATTTGATATCATGTGTGTGACCATATACAAAATGTGAATTCAGAGGAGTGTGTTTAATGGTTAAGTCCATGACATTCTTTGGTGTAGGAACCTTACCTTGGTATCCTATTCCTTTCCTGCCGTTTCTGCTAACTCCATAGATCATTGAAGCCATTCTGCTTCTATCTATGCTTTTAGCTAGGAACTTCTGGAAACTGTGATCATACTCCTTGATGATCTCATCAGCGTTGCTGGGAGTTTCAGAAATTGGATCCTTCTCAGAGTTTTGTAAAGTGTTTTCTAATTCTGAAATCTTATTTCTCAGCTCAGAATTTTCCAATTTGAGACTCTCAGTCTTATTAGAGTCAGATTCAAGATTCCTTTTCAGGTCTCTGAATTTAGCTCTAATTTGCTGATAACGTTCCAGAATCTCATTAAGGCTTTCAGCAAGTTCAGCCTTTGTAAAGTTAACAGCAAAGTTAGGAAATACCTCTTCAGTGTCTGATTCTGAGTCTGATTCAGAAGCTTCACTATCTTCTGAAATGTTAGCCATGAGAGCTATGTTTGCCCTTTCATCATCTGATTCTGAGTCAGCTTCAGACGAGTCAGAGTCATCCCATGTAGCCATGAGACTTTTCTTCTTCTCTCTTCCAAACTTCTTTTTGGGCTTTTCCCTCTGAAGCTTTGGGCATTCACTCTTATAGTGTCCTTGCTCGTTGCACTCATAGCAGATGATGTCTTTGGTGTTTGGCTTTTTGCTACTGGAGGAGCCTTCAGATCTTCTGTATCCAGAGGAAGAATCTGTCCTTATGTATCTGGAAGAAGACTCGTTCTGATCAGATCTTCTGGGATTCCTGAACTTCCTTTGTCTTTGCTTCCACAGTTGATTTACTCTTCTGGAGAGAAGGGAGAGTTTGTCTTCTTCTGATGAGGATCCATCAGATGTTTTTTCAACTGCCTGCAAAACTTTAGACTCAAATTTTCTGTTAGATTTTAAAGCTAAAGGCTTACCTTGCTTCTGAGGCTCATCAGCTTCTAGCTCTATCTCATGACTTCTGAGGGAGCTGATAAGTTCCTCCAGAGTGATTTTGTTGAGATCTTTAGCTAGCTTCAGAGCTGTAACCATAGGTCTCCACTGCTTGGGTAAACTTCTGATGATTTTCTTGACGTGGTCAGCAGTAGAGTATCCTTTGTCCAGAACTTTGAGACCAGCTACCAGAATCTGTAATCTAGAGAACATGGTTTCAATGGATTCAGATTCTTCCATTTTGAACGCCTCATACTTCTGAATGAGCGCCAGAGCTTTTGTTTCTTTGACCTGAACGTTGCCCTCATGCGTCATTCTGAGTGAGTCAAAAATATTCTTTGTTGTGTCTCTGTTGGAGATCTTTTCATACTCAGTATAGAAGATGGCGCTGAGGAGGATGGTTCTGGCCTTGTGGTGATTCTTGAAGTCACGCTTTTGTTGATCAGACATTGTTTTTCTATCAATCTTCTGACCACTTGCATTCACAGGGTGCGTGTATCCATTTGTCACCATATCCCACAGATCAGCATCATGTGCCAGAAAGAAGCTTTCAATTCTGTCTTTCCAGTAATCAAAGTTTTCTCCATCAAATACTGGAGGCTTGCCACTGAATCTGTCTCTGTCCTCATTGTTGTCATTGCTGATGTGAGAATTGTTTCATGCCATTGTGTTTTTCTGACGCTGGATCTTGTACTGACACGGTTAAGTGTTTTAGCTCAGAACCAGGCGCTCTGATGCCAATTGAAGTGGTGAAAAACACAAGAAGGGGGGGTTGAATTGTAAAACTGAAATCTAATGCAATGAACACGATATTTTTATCCTGGTTCGTTTGATCTCAAACTACTCCAGTCCACCCGTCAAGGTGATTTCGCCTCTCTCCAACGAGGTCTTAATTCACTATATTCAACTGAATATTACAGACTGCTTTAACAACTGCTAAAGCCTTCTTGATCCAAACCACAACCCGGTTTGTCAAGGTAACACTTTCTTACAAAGAGATAAAACTAAGTGTGTGAATGTTTTCTACAAAACTTTATCACAACTGTGATGTATACACAAATTGAAGCTTAGAAACTAGATTGCTAAACAATAATGGAATATCAGAGTGTGTGGTTTAGCAAAACTGAGAGATTGAAGATTATGGTTTAGCTTTTGTGCGTGTAGAGATTTGGAGAGCATTAGCCATTTCAATCTTCAAAGCCTTGTTTATATAGCACTGAGATGATGAACGTTGAATGCAATATTCTTGATTCAATGCTAATAACAAGCTTTCCTTATTGAGCAGATCTTGTCTGGAATGAGGCCGTTGGAATTAATTTGCTTTCAATGCACAGTACCGTTGCTTACTTAATGCAAGTTCTGGCTTGGCTCATTCTGACTCTGCTTCGCTGCTGATGAACTGTTGTGTTTCTTTATCAGAGTGTTGAGCGCAGTCTTGTTCATCAGGCTTCAGCATGTACGTGAGTTGATCATCTGATTCTGACATTCTGATATGGCAATCAAGTTCTGATGCTGAATAGATGTGATCTTGCTTATATCAATCAGAGTATCTGCAAGTCAGAACATAATACTTTTAGGCAGCAGATAGTTCATACATGAAACTTATAAATACTATATCTTTTCACTTTGTTATCATCAAAACTTAAATATAGGGTAGTAGATTCAAACATTGTTCTAACAACGGCGTTGAATTTGTTGCAGATTTATCGTAGATGAATCAGAGAAGTTGCGAAATATGATGGTGCGTAATGTTGTGGACAAAATTGTTGTGAAACCGAGTGAAGATTAATGATCGTTGCAGAGGAATGAAGAAGTTGATTGAAGGTTGAAGAAGATGCGGTTACAGAGTTTTTCTAGGGGATGAAGGTGAAGTGCCGAGGAATTTCTCAGAGGATAATCTTAGAGGTGAGTATCTCTCTGTAAGTTTTTTGTTGTGAGCTCTCCCCTCTTTCAACTTTCTGCTATAATCTGTTATATTCAGTTAGCATTTGTTGGGAGTTTTCTGTTAGAAGTGGTTTTTTGACAGTTGAGGGTTAGTTAATTAGAATTCTGTTATGGAATTCTGATTTCAAAGTTTGTTATAAAACTGGATGGCTAGGATTGATCCTTTTCTGTTATGTAGTTTGGCCCTGTGAATTCAGTTAGAGGTTGTCAAACCTTTGTTACGGAGAATTGGAATCAGTTATAAGTTTAAAGGAGTAAAAAACTGTTAGGGTCTGAGATAGAATTTTGGTTCCAAGGGTTAGTTGTTAGTTACTGTTAGTTAACTGACTCTGTTATAAATATTAGAAATTATGTTATGGTTAATTGGAAAATTGGTTAGGCGGTTGTGGATTCTGTTAGTTTTGTTTTTTTGAAGTTTTTGTTACAGTTTGTTATAGGTTAGTTAGACTGTTTAAAGGTTGGTTAAATTTGTTAGTTTTGATCTGTTATTTCTGTTAAGCAGTTAGGGAGTTTGTTTTTCTGTTAGGAAGTTAGCTGGAAAATCAGTAGGTGGTTTGCGTGCACCTTTAACAGGTTCTTTGATTTATGGCTTTCCATCAGCAAATATGTCACTACCAGTTATTTCTCTCAACTTTGCTCTGCTCAGTGATTTTTCTGCTGATCATGCAGGAACATCTCCATGGAAAATATTATTTCCCGATAGCTCTGCAAACCTCTGGTCGTGTACCTTCTTCGATGTCTTCTCAACAGGTGATTCACCAAATAAGATATTACTTTGGCCACCTGCAGGATTAGAAACTTTCACTGATGTTCACAGATTTCTCGGAAGAGTTTCTCCCATATCCTTACTATCCTTTGATTCCGAAGTTCGTGCATCTGAAATGGAACGTGGCACAATTTCAGGAGGAGGGCCAAATATATCGTTCCCAGTGAGCTCCTTGGTTTTGGCATTTGATGTTTGCTTCTGAGTCTTTGCGTCTATGTCAGTTTGTAAAGTCCCACTCAGTTCACGCTGCTTTGCTACCTCAGGTAGAGAGGTAAGCCTTTTAGGACTAACACTTTCATCGGTGTTGAACGATATCTGACTAACTCCATTTATCGCTTGCTGATATATGCGTATGCTAGTTCTGTTATTTGAATTTACATAACCAGGTTCAGATGCAGAATCGTCAGCATTGTATGAAAATATACCATTTCCACTCATCTCTTTCATTTTATACCCTGAACACGGCTTGCTTTTGGAGAGAGTGAGAGCTTCTTCTTCAGAAAGTTGTTCGCTGTTGAGAACCTTGCTAATTCTATCAGAAGGCTGGCGAGAGCGGGTGGAGGAGACGGAGGCGGAGGATTCATACGGAGGAGGAACTTCAGACCAAGTGAGTAGATCAGAGGTGTTGGTGTATGGTTTTCTCATCGGCGTGCTTGCCATGGTTTTCTTAAATTTCCGAGCAACGACCATAGTTGTTGGAGGCAAGAGTAACAAACTTAGAGATAAAGGTTCAATGAAGAAGAAAGCTCTCGTTCGCTTGGTGACGAAATTTGAACCGGAAAATGTAATGTAAAGTATGAGGAAACTTGGTAGAAAAACTTTCTTAGGATGTAACACTACTTGAACTCTTGTAACGTTCCTTTGTAATTTTGAAATGGTGTATAATGTTTTGAACTTGGAGACTTGATAATGTAATTAATAGGTAATAAACATGTATTGTGATATTTTAGTGTAATGGATTTTCATAATTGTATTCCCTCTGAATATGTAAAATTTTGAATGTTTTCCTTTTTGTAATGGAGAGTTCAAATTCAAAAGAATGAAAATATTGATATTTCCTCCTTTATTTAACTTTGACTTCTTAATCTTCTTTTGACCTTATGTCTTGATGTATCTATGATATGCTAAATCATTCAGTAGTAACTTGTATGGATCTATGTTCTTCTTCTCTGACTTCATCACTTTTGAATAACTTATCATGCCACGAAAATCTTGCCACTAAAGATCTTTTGATGAATTAAAGGGATCAACATGCTTAAGTATCTCCTGATTCAACTTTAATTCAAAAACCATTAATGCTTTCCAAGAACATTAGGCTTTAGCTTGAGCTGATTGAATGGGGTTCAAAGAATGTAGCTTGTACCATAAGTATACCAAGTGATTAAAAGGAGATATTTTCCTCAGGGTACACAAACCATGATTTTCAGATAAAATCCAAGTAAAACTATCTGCCTCTCTCGCATAAAGCCCATGACCACATGACTTGAGATTCAAGTAATAGGTACCCTATTGTCTGATGAAGAAAGAACAATAGAAACTCTAGCCTATAATGCATTAACACATACACCAAAATTTCTTTAATGATTTGCATCTTGAGCAATGATAGAATCTCTCGAATGATGACTTCCACTGATGAACCCAAGACTTCACAAAGAATTGCTCTTGAATAGCGATAAGAGAAATAAACCTTTATCAATTGATGATGGTGAACATAAGAAGACGATGTTTGTAAAGTCTCCATGCCCTCACGGTCCCTTGAATGCCACATTATAGGATGCCTTGCATTATAAGCAACCATGAAGCCACTTTTCATATTGAAGAAGACCAAGAAAGATCGAGAATAAAGAACTCTGAGGATGATGTATAACCAAGTCTTCGTATTCATCAAATAATCTTGAGGATAAGGGATAACCCCAATTCACGCTCCATGTATCTTCGATTGAGACAAACCTGCAAAAGAGATAAATTCGTGATGAACTATATGAAACCCTAATCCTATGAGGATAAGTACCAAACCTTATTGTTAGTGAATTCGTGCAATGCTAGATGACCTAATGAAGTATGTATATGAAGAATGAGAGATGCGTAAGCAAGACTATCCTTATAAAGAGGTAGGACAGATTTGGGGTATTACAATTGCCCCTATTTAATCGTCTTAAACTTGAAAGTACGATTGGTGCATGCCTTTCGGGAGTTCAAGGTTGAAGATGATTAAATACCAATGCCAAAAATTTGTCCTGAGAGAGAGTAAGTGTTTTCTTTATTTTTGTGTTATCTGCTGGGGGAAAGAAATTTTGTTTTTTCAATGAAGAGACAGAGAATGGACTTGTAACGTGGAGTGATGCCAATATAAGACAAATGGTTGGTATGAAAAGACATCGGATGAGGTCTACGGGCGACCTACGATCCTAAGGTGAAACAATGAGGGTGATTTGATAGAGAACCTAGCCTAAGGGCGATCTCAGGTTCTGAGACAAAATATGGAAAGAACCTAGCCAAGAGGTGATCTTAGGTTCGACGATGATTTGTTGGAAGAACCTAGACAAGAGGCAATCTCAGGTTCGACGATGATTTGAAGGAAGAACCTAGCCAAGAGGCAATCTCAGGTTCGACGATGATTTATGGGAAGAACCTAGCCTACGGGCGATCTCAGGTTCCAAGATGATCTAAGGAAGAACCTAGCCTACGGACGATCTTAGGTCCGACGATGATCTATGGGAAGAACCTAGCCTACGGGTGATCTCAGGTTCTACGATGATCTATGGGAAGAACCTATCCTACGGGCGATCTCAGGTTCTAAGATGATCTAAGGAAGAACCTAGCCTGCGGGTGATCTCAGGTTCTAAGATGATCTGAGGAAGAACCTAGCCTACGGGCGATCTCAAGTTCTAAGAAGGAAACATGGGTTACGACATGACGATTGTTTAGATAAGTGACACGGACGAGCATCAAGAAAGGTTAAACACGGACGAGTGTTTGGATCAATACGGACGAGTATTGAAAGAAGATACATGCAAGTATCAAAGGTTAAACACAGACAAGTGTTTGAATCAATACGGACGAGTATTGAAAGAAGATACGGACGAGTGTCAGAGGTTAAACACGAACGAGTGTTTGAATCAATACGGACGAGTATTAAAAGAAGATACAGACGAGTATCAAAGGTTAAACACGAACGAGTATTTGAATCATTACGGACGAGTATTAAAAGGTTAAACACGAACGAGTGTTTGAGTCAATACGGACGAGTATTGAAAGGAGATACGGACGAGTGTCAAAAGGTAAACACGGACGAGTGTTTGAGAGACTGACAACGATGAGTGTTTAGGAATGGACACAGATGAGTGTTTAGGAATGGACACGGACGAGTGTTTAGGGAACTGACTACCAGACAAGAACTGGGTTTAGAATGACAAAGTGTATTGATTTGGTTGGGCATTGAAAAGGTGAAGGTCATCGACTGGGGTTTTGGGAATGATATCCTTCTGTAAGGACGTATTGTTGTCCTTGAATAATTCAGGTCTTTTGTGTAAGGTACCTGATTTGGCTTATACTTCGTATGCATGTTTGAATTTCTTTTTCCGTAAAGATCCATTCTGATGGATCGGCTACGCGTTTTTGAGGATGTAATGTTATGCAGTGATAACTATATGCAATGCAAAGAAATAGACTTCATGGGGATAAGAGAAGGCCCATTGGAGACCGCTGCTCATCACTGGGGATGTCAATATATATTGACGCTGAAAGTATGCAGTACCAAAGATCGCTGGGGATAATGATAAGAATTTGCATTGGGGGCCCATGATATTGAAGATTGTTGATGACTCTGCTGGAGATTGAATCGCTGACGAAGCGAGCCTTCAGATACGCTGCTAAATTCTGAATCGTACAGTTGGGGAAGAGATAATCTGGACAGACTCCCATATATCATGAACTGTTGAGAGGATGATAGAACTGAATATGCCGAAGAATGGATATTGAACACCATGTGGATCTCTTTGAATACATGCCCCAAGTTTACGCACACTGGGGAATTATCTCTTGAATCACTTGGGGATAAGAGATGGGCATGGACCTACGAATGCCCCGTTTTAGCTCTGCGAATGCCCCGGTTTAGCTCTGTGAATGCCCCGGTTTAGCTTCACTGGGGATGTTCTTGATTAACTCCACTGGGGGTGTACTTGCGCGTGCCGAGTCAAATGATGACTCTGAATTTCCAAATTCACTTGGGGAATTAGGTTTGAAATTGTCTGTAGCGGGTGAAGGAAGCTTCATGCGTTGGCTAAGTCAGGGTGACCGTTATGATGCTTTTAGCTTGATTCGTCTCGTACGACATAATTGGCTTGAGCAACTTTGCAAGTACGGATGAGGAATGCCCCTGTCTGGAGGATCTCTGAGAAGATCTATGCTGAATAGTATACCGGAATATTCGTGCCATAATACGATAAGAGGTGGTCTGCCCTAATGTCTTGAGCCATGAAATAAACTGCTTCTGACTACAGCTTTCTTGGAGAGATTTATCGAATCTCGACGTAACTGCCCCAGGTTGAATGAATTCTGAATAGATTCCTCGATGTGATAGCCCCTGATTGATAGTTTAAAGAGATTTATCAATGTGATAGCCTCTGATTGACAGCTTTGAAGGAATGCCCCAAATTTGGATGAACTCGGAGAGATCGACTCTCGAGTTGATTGTCCCAGATTGGCGGACTCTGCTAACTTCATCCTTGAAGGATACTCAGATTGTGAAGTGTCAAGATATGCTTTCGCTTAACAAAATCACTGATTAATATGCCCCTGGATAAGTCATTTCTCTTGTGGTAGCTGACTCTTGCTTCAACAGGGTATTCAAGCCTCTCTTCTCTGACAAGATTGAGCTCTTTACCAATTGTTCATTGTGTAAACTTACTTGATGTCAATCAGTTGTTTTGTATGCAGAAGAATGTTTATTATGAGAATGATAATTCTAATGCAACACATATGTAAGTCTTGAAGTTTTATTAAAAAACTTTGAATGAAATGACGTCACAATTCTGTTGTGAACGAGTCACTAGCTAGAGAGAAACATTTGCAAAAAAAAATTTATTTTTTTATGAAAGATAATGCAAGCATATGATGCCAACACAGATATTCAAACATACCTCTTAGGAGTCAGTTAAATGTTATCTCGTTGTAGCATGCTTTCGAATTGACCCATGCTTCAGTTAGGACTTTTATGGGTTGTAACGTGGCCTGGTTCACGGTTTTAGAAAAAAGGGTTTAAGGCTCAAAATTTATTTGGTGCCCACCCGTTCTCCATGATGTTCTCCATTCCTACGTTCAGTTGACCCGATACAAGCGTTCATCTCTCGAGAAGAGTTTGTGATGATTAAGGAACTACCGTGGTTTCTTGGACACGATAGTCACTAACTTCTGATTTTGGTGTCTGATCAGACGACTTTGTTCTTTGATAAGGATTTTCATTGGTAATCCTTTTCTTGCCTTTTAGGCTTTTCAATTTCCTTCTTGCTTTCCCTAATTTTTTTCCTGGACAAATTCTTTTGAATTTCGATTTGGAAGTCCAGCGGGATGTCCCAATTTTTGCCTAAGCGACTTGTTTTCAAGTTTCGACTTAGCGGGGATTTTTGTTTCTTTCTTATTCATATTTCCACTTTGAACAA